TACAAAGAAGTTAAGAATCATAATCATCCTTAATCATATCAGCTGAAGTGCATTTTATTACTAGTGTGTCTTCTTACCACTTTTAGCTCAGTTTTCAAAAATAGTGATATAAAATCAGCAGGTTTTTTTTTTTTAATTTAGTACTTACAGTGTTGAAAGGGATGCATACCCTCCATTGGATGTGGGGTCAGGTATAGAGGAAGGTGGAGAGACAAATGTTTCAGTTTTTTTATTCCCTCCTGTGTTCAAAAGGGGGAAGGGTAGAGGGCCACTCCTTGCTGTCGAACTACATCAGCATCCAGGGATGGGAGGTAGTCATTTGATGACACCTTAGAGACCCTGATGTGGGGAAGAATGTTCCAAGGGTGTCACTTGAGTGGTTTTGATAGTTCTGAGACATTGTTGACTCTGTTGCACCAGGATTGAAAAAATTCATCCAAGGTCTGTTGGCTGTCCATGTCTACTTTAGTATATCCACAGACCCAGGAGCATGCTGCCTTGCTTGACCAGGAGAGTTGTCCAACCTGTTCTGCTAAAATAAGCAATGTTTTGGACTGAATAATCCAATGACTATATGCAGAAGAAAGCCAATATTGAGAATATACTGGAAACTGCACGGTCATCTACAGCTAAGAAGACAAGCGTTTGCTTCAGACTAATAGCAATACTAATGAAAATGAAATAGGAAATGTTATAAAGTTATCATTACTCAGTGAGTGACCATTTGGATATAGGGCATAGGAGAGAGGTAGCTGCCAGTTCCAAACCTGTATAATAAATAGAATGATGTGAAAAGCTAAAGAAGCAAATGGATTTATTGAGAAGATAATGGATTTGATATTTAGACATACATGCTTAAGAAAATGACTAATTAAATGATCAACAGGTAAGATGCGTAACCACATATAAGGGATATTTAAAGCTTAGCAGAGAAGGTAAGAGACTCAAAGTGAAAGTAATATAGCTAGTTTTGAGAACTTGACAGGCATTTCTGTAAGTATTGTACAGATATCACAGAAAGGCTGCTTGCCAGGACAGGCATTTGTTCTTACAGTTGACACATATAACTATACTGGGCAGATAATCTTTTTCTGGGCTACTTGAGATGTTCACATCATAGATGAGAATGCCTTTGTGCTCAAATCCTAGCCCTCATGTCTGTCTCCAGCTCTGTGCTTATGTTCATCCTGAGAGCAAGGGATAGCTCGAGAACAAGGACCCCCTACCCACATGGGAGACCTAGATTGAGTTATTGGTTCCTGGCATCAGTCTGACCTATCCCTGACTGCTGGGGTACCTGGAGCATTGAGGCAATGGCTGGAAGATATAAAATGAAAATAAAGACATAACTTTCCCAGGGTTATGGAGCTAGCAAGTGGCAGAGCCAGAAAAAGAAAATTCAATCTATTAACTCTAAACCCATGTTTTATTTAGCAAACCTTATAAAACAGTGCCTGACAAATGGTGAAGACTCTCAGGTGTTTTATAAATGAAACCTCATCTAATCCTTGCAGCAAGTCTCTAAAACACACTGTTACTTAGATAAGAAGCTGAGAAACCAAAAGGTTAAGCAACTTATCTGCTCTTAGTCACCACACATTTTGCCACAATTGCAAATATTTTAAGATTAATAGTCAGGAACCACAATTAAATTTTTAAAATTTTAGTATATACATTTCACAGGCTCTGGGATTTCCCTTTCCCCCTCCTCAAATGCCCTCCACCCCTCATTGATTTCCCCCATAGTATTACAGTAGTACAGTCCTTCATAAACAGTCATAAGCCCATCATTTCGCTGTTTAAATGTCTCCTAATATTGTAGGTAAGGACAATGACATTTCAGCATCCCATTGTCAAGATATATTTAACAGTTTCTTTGGGAGTCCATCTTTGATTTGGAAGTAGGAATGCATACTGTACTGTATCCTCATATCTGGATATGATAGTGTCCATTACACAATTATACAACTCCTTAAATAAAAAGCCATAAAATAAAATCAACAGCAGGAAGAAAAATTGAAAATTTACAAACCACAAAGTTAAATAACATGCTACCAAATGACCAATGTGTTCCTGAAGAAATTAAAAAATTGAAAAACCTGAAGAAAATGATGCTATTGTATGACCTATGAGTCAGTGTGGAAATCAGTAAAAAGAAATTGTTTTTGAAGAAATGAAAAACAAAAGTGTCAAAATCCATCAGATATAGCAAAAACAATGTTGAAAGGGCTATTGGTCTTATATTTTGCATGAAGGTTGTTTTACATCAGAAAGAACATATGATATTTGTCCTTTTGGAATTGACTTATTTCTCTGAGAAAAATGGTATCTAGTTGGGACCATTTGGTTGCAAATGGTAGCATTTCATTTGTTTAATGGCCAAATAGTATTAGTATTCCGTGAAGTAGATGCGCCATGGTTTCTTTATCCACTCTTTTGACAGGCATCTGGGTTGTTTTCACATCTTTGCTATTGTAGATTGTGCTGCTTTAAATAAAAGATTACAGATCCTTTTCATGCAGATTTCATTTCCTTTGGATATATTCCCAGAGGTGGGAGAGCTGGGTCATATGGCAGTACAATTTTCAGTTCTCTTAGCACTCTCCATACTGACTTCCATAGTGGTTATACTAGCCTTCAATCCCACCAGCAGTGAAGGAGGGTACCTTTCTTCCCACATCCACACCAGCAGGTGGTATTAGTAGGATTCTTAATGTAGGCCAGTCTCACTGGAGTTAGGTGGAACCTCAACGTGATTTTCATTTTAATTTTCCTGACAGCTGGAGAGCTTGAGCATTTTTTCATGTCTGTTAGCCATTTGAATTGGTTCATTTGAAAAATGTCTGTCCATTTCCTTCACCTGTTTCTTCACAGGGTTGTTTGTTTTGCTGTTGTTGAGTTTCTGAAGCTATTTGTAAATCCTGCATATTAATCCCCTATCTGTTTTGTAGTGTGAAAAGAGTTTCTCCCATTCTGTTGATTGTTTCTTCGCTTTGTTGATCATTTCCTTTGCTGTACAGAAGCTTTTTGTGTAGTCCCGTTTGTTCATTTTGGTTTTGACTGCCTGTGCTTTTGGTGACTTTTATAAATCTTTCCCTATTCCTATATCTTGGAGAATGCTTCCCATATTTTCCTCTAATACTTTGATGGTTTCCAAGTGCAGATTTAGGTCCTTGATCCACTTAGAACTTATTTTTATATGAAGTGACAGGTGGGGGGGTCTGGCTTCTTACCTCTACAGGCTATTATTCAATTGCCCTGACAGCATTTTTTGGGAAGAAACCAGACTTTTTCCCTGTATTATTTTCAGTTTTCTTTTCTTTTTTCTTTTTTTTTTTTAAGATTTATTTATTTTTATTGGAAAGTCAGATATACAGAGAGGAAGAGAGAGAGGAAGATCTTCCGTCCGATGATTCACTCTCCAAGTGACCGCAACAGCCAGTGCTGTGCCAATCCGAAGCCAGGATCCAGGAACCTCCTCCAGGTCTCCCACGCGGGTGCAGGATCCTAAGGCCTTGGGTCATCCTTGACTGCCTTCCCAGGCCACAAGCAGGGAGCCTGATGGGAAGTGGAGCTGCCGGGATTAGAACCAGCACCCTTATGGGATTCTGGCACATTCAAGGCGAGGACCTCAGCCGCTTGGCCACGCTGCCAGGCCCTGTTTTCAGTTTTCTTAAGATTACTTGGCTATATATGTGTGGGCTCCTTTCTGGGGTTTCTATTCTGTTCCAGTGATCTTATTCTCTGTTTCATACCAGTACCAGACTATTTTGATGACCACTGCTCTGTAGCATGTCTTGAGGTCTGGACCTTGATTCCTCCAGCTTAGATTTTTATTCTTCAGAATAGCTTTGGCTATTTGTGGTCTCGTGTGTTTCCTGATGAACTTTTGTATCATCTTTTCTATTTTCTGAGAAGAATGTTGCTGGGATTTTGGTTGGAATTCTGTTAAATCTGTATGTTATTTTTGGTAATGTGGACATTTTGATGATGTTGATCCTGCCAGTCCAGGAACATGATAATGTCTTCCTCTTTTTCTAATGTTTTGTAATTTTCATTATAGAAGTCTTTCACATCTTAGGTTAATGCCAAGATATTTAAGATTTCTCTCACTATTTTAAAGGGAACTATATTTATAATTTCTTTCTTAGCTGTGGAGTTATTAGTGTATACTAATGCCATCAATTTATAAAAAAAAATGATGGACCTGACATATTCCAGTTTTTGAAGAATAAAATGTGTATTCGTTGGGGCCAGCGTGTTGGCTCAACTGACTAATCCTCCATCTGCAAGCACAGGCATCCCCTATGGATGCTGGCGTGTATCCTGGCTGCTCTACTTCTATATAGCTCCCTGCTTGTGACCTAAAGAACAGAGGGGGATGGCCCAAAGCGTTGGGACCCCGAACCTGCATGGGAGACCCGGAAGTAACTTCTGGCTTCAGATAAGCTCAGTTCCAGCCATTGTAGTCATTTGGGGAGTGAACCAGAGGAGGGAGATCTTTGACTCTCCTTCTCTGTGTAAATCTGCCTTTCCAATGAAAATAAATTGTTTTTTAAAAAAGAATTTTGTGTTGATTTTGATTAACTGTACTGTTTCATCCAAACTTAGAATAAGACTGCCTTATCAAGAAACAATTCGTTGCTATCTTAAACTGGTTAATTTAGGGGTGGACGTTTGACCTAGGAGTTAAAACACTGGATAGAATGCCTAAGTTCAGGCTCTGGTACCTAACCACAGCTGCCTGCCAGTGCAGGCCCTGGGACTAGCAGTGATGGGCTGCTGTGGGAAAGCTGGATTGTGTTTGGCTCCCAGTGTGGTCCACATCCAGTCTTGACCTTTACAGGCAGTTGACTGATGTAGCAGATGGGAACTCATTCTCTCTGATTAATAAACAAGTTGTATTTCAATTTCAGTAACAGCTTTTCCTGAGTTATAATTTTATGCTTATTTTGTTTAAAAATATTAATAAAATTCTAAAAATAAGCTTTCCTCTATAGGTTATGGCCATTGCACCAACCCATTACATCTGGCAACGAGAACGTTCTGTGCATCACAGTGGAGCTGTCAGAAGCTACAACCGACATGAAGTTCAACTGCCCCGAGGACCTAGTGCCACGCCAGCGGATTGTTCACTCTGTGGTAGAAGAGGGAGATATGTTAGACTAGGATTGTCTTCAGCATCATCTTCACCCAGTGATACAGCCGAGTTGGAGCCACACAACTCATTTTCAATGAATATAACAGCTAATCCTTTTCAAGCATGTAACTATTCTCAAGGTATGATTTAGTGACCTATCAGAATTCAATGTAGTCATGTTATTTATTGAGCTCTAGTCCTTACAAATAAGGAAGCATATTTATATACTACAGAAATTAATTATATAGTATTAAATGTTTTCCCATATTCCTGGTGGTCACATTTCATCTTGTATCCCTGTCTTTGTTGGCCTAATTCAACAAAGAATTTCTAACATGATTCATGTGAAAACAAAGCCTAATGTACCATGAACTTCAAGTTTTAGAACCTAAACCACCATTTCTTTGAATATTTATTCTGTTCAAAAAGGGTTTCAAGAAGAAAATGAATTTACTTATAATCTCATCACCCAATTGTATGTTTTCTTCTATTTCTGCTAAGATTAGAACCATACCAATCCAGGCCTGTCTTTTTTGTTTATTATAAAGTATTTTAATATTTGTGATTTCCTTTGAAACCTGATTTTTAATTATAATCTAGTTTAAATATCAATTTGCTTGAATATTTTATTTTTGTAGGGATTTAGGTGAGTGAACAATACATGTCATTAATTAGAAAATTATCTTACTAATTGGAAGTAACAACCACAATACAATTCTCACTCAAGTAATTTTTAAGAACTTACTAACAATGTGTGTTTTTATGAATGAGATAAAATGTCAAAACATGTATATAATGTGTACTGATCACAATGAGGTAATAAACATTTCAACTTCTTTGACTATGATTGGAGGCATGGAGCTGCTACTTCTGTTAGTTCAAACAATATATACTAGGTAATTGTAATCTGTGCTCTTCATATTATGCTATATAATACTAGGAACTTATTCTTCTGATCTAAGTCTATTTTGGTCGCTGTTATCCAAACTCCCTCTGTTCCTCTTGCCACCCCTTCCAGCCTCCAGAAATCACTATTCTGTGTTCAAATTGTGTGTGTGGTTTTTTTTTTTTTTAGCTTATACAAATGAGGGAGAGCATGTGGTATGTGTCTTCCTGTGTGTGTCTCCATTTGCTTAACATGATATTCTCCAGTTTCACTTATTTTTACTACAAATGACAGAATCACATTTCTTTTTTACAGATAAATAATATTCTGTGTGTGTGTGTGTGTGTGTGTGTACGTTACATTATTTTTATCCATTCATCCAATGATGGACATCTTGATTGATTCCATATCTTCACTATTGTGAGTATTGGTGCAATAAACAGTTAAGTCCAAATCTCTCTTCGACTGGAACATTTTCTTTTCTTCTGGATACATGCTCAGTAGTGGCAGCTCTACATCTAACTTTGTTTTTGAACCATCCCGATGCTGTTTCCATACTGGATGTACTAATTTACATTCTTACTAATAGTATATAGTACTCCCCATTACTCCATATCCTTGCCAGTAAATTTTACTTTCTGCCTTTTTTGTAATAGCTGTTTTAATAGAGCTGAGGTATTACCTCATTGTGGTTTTGATTTACATCTTCTTCATGGCCAGTGATAGAATTTTTAATGTATTTATTCATTTATATTTTTATTTGGAAATGTATTCAGATTTTTATGTTCATTTCTTACTTGGATTGGGTTTCTTTTGTTGCTTTATGAGTTTTTGTTATTATCTGGATATTATCTGAGCTAATCCTTTGTCAGATAAGCAGCTTATAAATATTTTCTTCTATTTTGCCAGATGCTTCTTCACTCTGTTGGTTGTTTGTTTCTGTCTAAACATTTCTAAGTTCAATATAATCCCATTTAATTTGGCTTTGTTGCTTGTGCTTTTAGAGCCTTCAAAAAAGCATCACCTACATCAAATGTCCTGAAGTTCTTCCTCTTATGTTTTCTTCCAGCAGTTTCATAGTGCTATGTCTTACATTTAGGTCCTTGGACCATTTTGATAATGTATAAATGATGGGAATGAATCTAATTTCATTCTTGTACATATGTATATACTGTTTTACCAGCATTATTTATTGACAAAGATTATTCTTCCTCCCATGCATGTCCTTGGTGTCTGTCAGGAAATCAGTTCACTGCCCATCCTTGGTTATAGTCTTTCCCACTGATCATTGTGTCAATTTTTATGCCAGTACGATGCTACTTTAATTACAATACTTTTGTAGCATGTTTTGAAGTCAAGTATCATGATGCCTCTAGATCTACTTTTTCATTTAGGTTCACTTTGGCTATTCCTTTTCATGGTTATATAGAAATTTTTAGATTTTTTTCCTATTTCTGTGAGGAATGTCATTGGTATTCCTGTGGAGATTGCATTTATCTATAGATGGCTTTAGGTGTTATGGATATTTAACAGTCTTAATTCTTCCAATCCATGTTTTGTGTGTACTTGATGATTCTTTCATTAGTGTTTTATAATTTTCATTGTAGACCTACTTTAATTCTTCAGTTAAATTTACTCCTGTTGTGAATGCAGTTGTGTGTGTGTGTGTTTTTTTTTTTTTTTCTCTTGGTTTCCTGTTCAGCAAGACTATTATTCTGGTATAAAACTCCTACTATTTACATGCATGTTGGCTTTGTGTCCTGTGACTTTACAAGTTGATTTATCAATTCCAACAGCTTTTGATACAGTGTTTAAGTTTTTCAATGTACAAACTAATATTATCTCCAAACATGGGTATTTTGAGCTCCTCCTTCCCAGTTTTAATACCCTTTATTTTTCCATATCTAACTTCTCTTGCTAATACTTCCAGGACAAGGGGGGGGAGGAAATGCTGAAAATGTACATCCTAGTCTTGTTCCAGATCTGAGAGTAAATTCTTTCAGCTTGGGCATGGCATGGTGGCCTAGCAGCTAAATCCTTGCTTTGAACGTGCTGGGATCCCATATGGGCACCAGTTCTAAAGCCAGCAGCATTGCTTCCCATCTAGCTCCCTGATTGAGCATGGGAAAGCAGTCGAGGACGGCCCAATGCAGTCGAGGACGGCCCAATGCCTTGGGATCATGCACCCATGGGGGAGACCCAGAAGAGCTCCTGGCTCCTGGCTTCGGATCAGCACAGCTCCAGTTGTAGCAGTCACTTGGAGAGTGAATCATCAGACTGACGGAAGATCTTGCTGTCTGTCTCTCTTCCTCTTTGTATATATGACTTTGCAATAAGAATAAATAAATTTTGGGCCCAGCATGGTGGCCTAGCAGCTGCAGTCCTCACCTTGAATGCGCCAGGATCCCATATGGGCACTGGTTCTAATCCCAGTGGTACCTCTTCACATCCAGTTCCCTGCTTGTGGCCTGGGGAAGCAGCTGAGGACAGCCCAAAGCCTTGGGACCTTGCACCCATGTGGGAGACCTGGAAGAAGTTCCTGGCTCCTGGCTTCGGATCAGCACAGCTCCATTTGTTGTGGCCACTTGGGGAGTGAATTATCAGATGGAAGATCTTCCTCTCTTGTCTCTCCTCCTCTCTCTATATATCTGACTTTCCAATAAAAATAAATATTTTTTAAAGAATAAATAAATCTTTAAAAAAAAACAAACCTAGGAAAGGCGGGTTCAGCGATGTAGCCTACTAGCTGAAGTCCTTGCCTTGCACACGCCAGGATCCCATATGGGCGCTGGCTCATGCTTCGACTGCTCCAATTCCGCCCAGCTCCCTGACTGTGCCCTGGGAAAGCAGTCGAGAATGGCCCAAAGGCTTGGGACCCTGCACCTGCATTAGAGACCTGGAGGAGGCTCCTGGCTGCTGGCTTTGGATCGGCTCAGCTCAGCTCTGGTGTTGTGGTAGGAGGACCTTTCTGTCTCTCCTTCTCTCTGTGGATCTGCCTTTTCAATAAAAATAAATAAGATTTTTTTTAAAAAAGAAAACCTGGAAACCTTTCAACTATTATTTCATCAGACAAATTCTCAATGCATTTTCCTTCTCTTTTCCTTTAGTTATCCTCATAATATGGTTATTTCTTCATTTAATGATATTCCATATATCTCAAAGGTCTTATTCATTCTTTTGTTTTTGTTCTAATAGGTTATTTCAAGTATTATCCTCAATATCAGAAATTTTGTCTTCTGCTCAGTCCATTTTAGTGATATATTATATCTCAACTGTATTTTTTAATTCATTAGAGTGTTCAGCCACAAAATTTCTGACTGCTTCTTTTTAATAATTTCTAAATCTTCAATTTCTCCAGCATGCATTTTTTTTCATTTCTTTGAATTGTGTATTCCTTATTCTCTCTCTAATGTTGAATTTCCTTAGGTTGAATGTTTTGAATTATTTTTCATGAAGTTCAATTATTTCTTTCACATTAGATAATACTGTGTCCCGGCTGCTCCACTTCCCATCCAGCTCCCTTCTTGTGGCCTGGGAAAGCAGTCGAGGATGGCCCAAAGCCTTGGGACCCTGCACCCAGGTGGGAGACCCAGAAGAAACTCTTGGCTCCTGGGTTTGGACCGGTTCAGCTCTGGCCCTTGTAGCCACTTGGAGAGTAAACCAGCAGATGGAAATCTTTCTCTCTGTATTTCCTTCTCTCCCACTCAACCTGTGTACTATAAATTATAAGTTCACAATTTAAGCTTACAAAACTTTTAAAATATAAATTTAATTGAGCCATCCCTTCCTTCCAGGGTGTCCATTAGCTGGAAGGTAGATTGGAAGTAGAGTTCAAAATCAAGGCACTGCAATATGAATACAGTCCCTCCAAGTAGCATCTTAACCACTGTGCCAAATGCCTGCCCAAGCTAAGATTATTTTTATAACTTTTTGTAGAAGAATGTGGATAATTTTATCCTAAAATTTCTGCTTTTGCAACCAGTGTGCATCTGGTCCTGGTTTGGGCCTGGCTCAGCACTGGCTCAGCACTGGCCCAGCACTGGCCCTTGTGGCCATTTGGGGAGTGAATCAGTAGATGGAGAAGCTTTCTCTCTGTGTCTCTTGCTTGCTCTCTCTTTCTCTTTCTCTCTCTCTCGCTCTCTCTGTAACTCTGCCTTTCAAATAAATAAATCTCTTAATTAAAAGAAAAAAGTTCTGAGGGTATTGTGACACACCTGCTTAAGCCATGACTTGGGAGTGTCAGAGTCGCTAGGAGTCCACCTCCATTTCCAGCCCAGCTTCTCTGCACCCTGGGAGGCAACACATGACGACTTGAGGACGGGCTCCTGCCGCCCCATGGCAGACCTGAGCAGAGACCCTGCTTGCAGGCTCCAGCTGGCCTCGTCCTGGCTGTTTGCTGCGTTTGGGAGTAAGCCTGAACGTGGATGATTCTGTCTCATTTTCTCCAATATATAAAAATAAATATACTTAAAAATATCTTGAGAGGGATAAAAGATTTAGGAATTATTACATATTTTGTTGTAATGTTGAAGGTAATTATGCATTCCTACCAGTTTTTATCTACTAGTTGCTATAACCCAGATTTATTATTTTTGAAGATATACTACAAGCCATTAAAATATATATATTTAAAATATACAGATATGTAAAAGTTATCTTAAGATGCATATTTTATTTCCGTAGCCAATGATCATCCATCAAACAAAGAAAATGAAATGAATTTGATGAAGGAAGACAGAACTATGCAGTGGTTTACAGGAAGTGAAGAATGAAATGGCTCAACTTAGGCAGTTTGGAGTCACCACTACAAAACGTCAGACTAACTGCGAGACAAGTGTCAAAAACGACATTTAGAGCAGTTTTGCAGTATTACACATATTTAGCTTTTGTTATTTTTTCGAAATTATTCATAAAAGTTAAACCATAGTAATAGCTAAAAATAACAATCTATGAAAGTAGTTTTCATCTATGAAAATTTTATTTCATTATGTCTCCATGTTAAAATTAGCTGCTGTCTTCTGGTGCACTCAAGCAAGGTGTGGTTGGAACTTCCTCAACTTGACAAGAAAAGCTAATTCAATGAAGAGAAAAACTTAGGTTATTATATTGATTAGAAAACACCATTTGAAATGGCTTAAAAACTGTTCACCTCTGTGACCAGTCTGCCAGTGTGGAAGTCTAGCAAAACAGGGAAATGATCCATATGGAAAGTGACAATAGGATTCTTCTGTGTAGAACAAAATATGTGCTATAAATTATAAGTTTACAAAACTATTAAAATATAAAATTTCTATAAATACAAAATACAAACTACTGTCTCTCTGCTGTAGGTTTTTTTTCCTCTTTTTTATTAGCACTTGTTTTCAAGCTATCCTGCCAGTTATGCATTGAAACAATTTGTGAATGATTATGTGATAATATATTTAAGGTTGTAGAAACAAATGAATAAATTCATAATTTATTTGATACTAGAAACCTCGTTGCTAGTCTGAATCTGTGTGTTCTCCAAGACCTAAACTATTTCTTTGCGAAATTCCAACAACATCCCAGCAGTTACTTTTGGAGATATGTGCACATCAGGGTCATATTAATTTCATTCCCTGCAATAATAATCACTGATATAACTTTAACAAAAAGCAAAACCAAAACACAACAAAGGGTGGGGTGATTAGCCTAGTGGTTAACACATCGCAGCCCATTGTAGCTCGAGCATTTAGGTTCCTGCGGTCCACAACAGAGACTTGGATTGAGTTCCTGGGCCCCAGCCCTACCTGCTTCAGGCATTTGGGGAGTGAACCAGTGGATGAGTACTCCCTCTGATTCTCTCCCTTTCCAATAAATAAATACACAAACCAAACTCCCCAGAATAAGCAAAATATGAATATGGTAAGAGGCCAAATTCTTCAAAGATACCAGAGTTTTATCTAAAAGATATGAAAAGTCATTATTCTGTCCCATAGATTTTTTTTTTTTAATAGAATAGGAGTTGAGGACCCAGTGCAGTAGCCTAGCGGCTAAAAGTCCTCGCCTTGAATGCACCAGGATCCCATATGGACGCCACTTCTATCCCAGTGGCCCCACTTCCCATCCAGCTCCCTGCTTGTGGCCTGGGAAAGCAGTCGAGGTCGGCCCAAAGCCTTGGGATCCTGCACCCACGTGGGAGACTTGGAAGAGGCTCCAGGCTCCTGGCTTCAGATCAGCTCAGCCCCGGCCATTGCAGCCACTTGGGGAGTGAATCTTTGGACAGAAGATCATCTTCTCTGCTCTCCTCCTCTCTGTATATCTGACTTTCCAATAAAAATAAATAAATCTTAAAAAAAGAATAGGAGCTGATACTGAAGTGCAACAGGTTGAGTCGTTACCTGTAACACTGGCATCCCCTGGCAGAGCGCTGGTTCCAGTCCTGGCTGCATTCCCAATCCAGCTCCCTGCTAATCCATCTGGAAATTAGCATTATGGCCCTAAGTACTTGGACCCCTGTAACCCACATGGGAGACTCCAAATGGAGTTCTGGGATCCTGCCACAGCCTGCACTAACCCTGGCTGTTGCAGCTATTTGGGGAATGAATAGAAGATGGAAAATCTTTCTCTTACACTCTGCTTTTCAAATAAATAAAAGGAATCTTAGAAAAAAAAATGTGGGGGCAGGGCAGGACAGTGGCTCAATGCCTAAATCCTCATGTTGTAAGTGTTGGGATCCCATATAGGCACCAGTTCATGTCCCAGCTACTCCACTTCTCATCCAGCTCCCTGCTTGTTGCCTGGAAAGCAGTGGGTGACCCAATGCCTTGAATCTCTGCCCCCACATGGGAGACCTAAAAGAAGCTCTTGGTTCCTGGCTTTGGATCAACTCAGCTCCAGCCAATGAGACCATTTGGGTAGTGAACTAAGTGGATAGAAGATATTTCTCTTTGTCTCTGCTTCTCCTTTTCAATAAAAATTAATAAATCTGTAAAAATAATCATCTGGGCTGGCCAGCTCCTGGCTCCTAGCTTCAGATAGGCCCAGCTCCAGCCATTGCCAGATCACATCAGTGCCAAGAGACAGAGACAATCCTCTGGTTTTGTCCTAATGGGGAGAAGACTGTCCTTAGGGTATTACGGGTGGCATTGGCTTTGTTGCATTGCGCCATGTTAAGATACCACTTCCCATATTTGCTTGTCTGTGTTTTAGTATGTCCATAGCCTTAGATGCTTGGTGAAGAATTTGGCCTCTAGTGTTATTCAACCTGCTCTTCCTTCCACCTTTTGCTGAGGCACTCAAATTGATGTGTTGAATCAGAGAGGCCGGCTGTCCTGTCTTTTGGGTGCATTCCAGTGTGTGGTGTCCCTTTACAGGGAGTCAGCAATGGAGGCAGACCAGTCCCACAACATGTGCTTCGAGGTCAGATCAGATGTGTATACCCTGAGGTTGGGAATTGGGTGGAGTGACCCATCAGGCCAGCTACTAAGAACCCCTATTGAGTTGGTCCCCAGATCCAGTTCTCATGTACACCAGTAGGCACTGAAGCTCAGCCCAGTCCATCCTCCGACCCAGCCTCTTGTGTGCCTGCTGGTGCTGTGGTCTGGTCAGGGTGATCTCCAACAACTCCAAACAGGCCCTTGCCCAGACCTAGCGCACATGTATGCCAGCAGGTTCTGTGGCCTAGCCTAGGCTGGCCTGCCCCAAACCTGACCCTTACTGTTACTGGCAGGTACCATGGCTAGTTGGGAAATCCCCAAGGCCCCCTTCCAGGCTTGCTCCCTGACCTGGCTCTCACTTCGACTGACAGGTTGCAACCTAGCCCAGCCCAGCCCAACCTAACCCCAGCTCTGCCTCATGCATGTTGCTGGGTTCTGTAACCTAGTCTAGCCTGGTCTGCTGCCACACCAGGCTTTTGTACCAACGGGTGCTGTGGCCTAATCAGGAAGATCTCTGAGGACCCCTACCAAGCCTGCCCCGTTGGAAGAGCCTATCTTCCTTTTAATATACCTGGGAATGCAGCAGGCAACAGGTCCCTGAACCCTGTCGGAGGCAAAAATAGAGTTCTGGCTCCTGGCTTCAACCTGACCCAGACCTGACTGTTGTGGCCATTTAGGGAGTGACCCAGCAGATGAAAGATCTGTTTCTCTCTCTAACTCTGCCTTTCAAATAAATAGGCCTTAACAAACAAAGAAACAAACAAACACAAGAGGGATTGGTATTGTGGGTTAGCAAATTAGGCCACCACCTACAACACCATCATAATACATGGCTGCCAGTTTGAGTCCTGGCTGTTCTGCTTCTGCTCAAGCTGCCTGCTAAATGCACTTGGAAAAGCAGCAGAATATGGCCCAACCCCTTGGATCCCTGCCACCCACATGGGAGACCTGGATTATGCTCCTGGCTCTAGCCACTGGGGAGTGAACCATTCTGTCCTTCAAATAAATCTTTTTAGAATAAAATAATGTATGCTAATTTATACTTAATACAAATCTTTTGGCTTTTGATCAGATACCTACCTATAACCCAAACTTTTACCAAGTAACAATTTTTTCATCACTTCCCTGTAGAAAACAAAACTCATCATGATGTTTCGCTTGATAGTTCTGTATCATGAGTTACTTATGAATGTCAACAGCAGTTCTTTGGCCCTAACAACATGTACTCCTTCCCTAGTTGCTAACATCCTCCTACCTTCCATATTCTCCTATACTGACTTCCCATTTGCCACTGTTATTCAAGAGAGATTCAACCGCATAATCCTAGTCAGTGGATTTCTTTTTAGATCAGAACAGTTCAGCAGATTTACACAAAGCTGCAACAACACTGTTAAAATCCTTTTGTTCTATGTCCACTGACAAAATTCCACTGACAAACTAACCTCCCAGGTATTTTCGACATTCCTACAAATGGCCTATAGATCCATCCCTGCTTATGAGCAAAAAGATGCAAGCTTAACAAGGACAACGAAAAAGAACTGTGGTCTTGTGTCTAATAGACTACACCACTGAAACTATAGGCTTTAGTTACATTACAGATAAGAATCAGTATTTTCAGTAATCAGTATTTTCAGTATTGCTGAAATTTTCAGTATAAATCAGTATTACTGATTTCAGAATCAGTAATTTCCTGGGCCCAGTGCAGTAGCCTAGTGGCTTAAGTCCTCACACATGCTGGGATCCAACATGGGTCCTGGTTCAAATCCCGGCTGCTACATTTCCCATCCACCTGCCTGCTTGTGGCCTGGAAAAGCAGTAGAGGATGACCCAAAGACTTAGGATTCTGCACCCACATGAGAGACCTAGAAGAAACTGCTGGCTTTTGGCTTTGGATCAACTCAGCTCTGGTCATTGCGGCCATCTGGGAAGTGAACCAGCAGATAGAAGATATTTCTGTCTCTCCTTCTCTCTGTAAATCTGACCTGCCTTTCCCATAAAAACTAAATAATTCTGTTTAAAAAGATAAAAATAACTTACACCTTTAGCAATACATCTTATTATTAGGGTGATTTTTAAAAAATGATTTTACATAATTGTTCCCTCCCCCCCAAAATAACACTTTGCTGAATACTGAACTTGCAAACTTAAGAATAACCATAAAAAAGGGTTCTTATTATGTGCCTAGTAGGTCCCCACCACTCACAGTAAACAAGTAGAGGGCCCAGCACAATGGATCAAGTGGCTAAATCCTTACCTTGCAGGTGCTGGGATCCCACATACATGTAGGTTCATGTCCCAGCTGCTCCACTTTCCATCCAGCTCCTTGCTTGTGGCCCAGGAAAGCAGTAGAGGATGGCCCAAACCCTGGGACCCTGCACCTGCATAGGGGACTGGGAAAATGCCCTTGGCTCTTGGTTTTGGATCAATTCAACTTTGGTTATTGTGGCCATTTGGGGAGTGAACCAGCAGATGGAAGATTTGTTTGTCTCTTTTTCTCTCTGTAAGTTTGACTTTCCAATAAACACAATCTTTAAAAAAGAAAAATACAGTCTTCATTTAATTCAAATGGGACTGGCAATTCCTAAATTAAAGTAAAAATCTGGATTTCCCTCCTAAAACTAAGCAAAAGGTTCCTCTTCTGGATACAGGCAGAGTGAGGAATGTACTGTTGATGTGTCTTGACCATCCTTGCCCTGGCACCCTGGGGTCCGGTGCGATCGCTCTGAGACCTGGAGGCAGTTTCTGGCTCCTGCCTTTGGATCAGCTCAGCTCTGGCCATTGCGACCACTTGGGAAGTGAACCAGTGGATGGAAGATCCTTCTCTCTGTCTCTCCTTCTCTCTGTAAATCTTTAGGGGGGAAAAAAAGAGATTTATTTATCTTAATGGTAGAGTTACAGACACAGGTAGACATGAAGAAATCTTCCACCTGCTGGTTTGCTCCCCAAATGGCAGCAACAGTTGACCGGGACCT